AGAAGAGTTGCTGAATGAGGACGCGCTGAGTATCCAGGTTCTCTCCCTGAGCTTCCAATTGACGAAGGAGTTTCTCCATTTGGTCAATGGTAGCCTTCACTTCAGTAAACCTGTTGTTACATTGTGGCAGCTGTGCCAGTTTACGATACAGTGTTGCCACTATCAGCTCAGGCTGTCCAAATTTGTCCTTCAGCATCGTAACTGCGATAGGATAGTTAGCTGCTGTTATTGGAATGCCTTCGATGGCTGCTGCGGCGACACCCGTCAGGACGCTTTTGAGGTACGTGAATTTTGATACGTCCGGCAACGATTGACGAAGACCAACAGAGGACTCAAATGTCTGCCAGAATTCTGGCCAGTCCATGATGTCTCCATTGAACTGAGACAGTTTCAGCTGAGGAAGTTTCACCACTGGACTGGAGCGTGCAGCTTGCATGGCTGCTACTGCTGCCTGTGCCGCCACCTCAATGGTGGACAGCGTTGTTGGTGTACTGTGGATACTGACACTTGACGATGCTCGTCGGATGCCATCTACACTGATCATAGCTGGAGACTCGTTCTGGTCTCTAGAATCTTCTTCCAGCTGCACTGCTGTTTGTTGATGCGCCTCCTCGTCAACTACTGGTATGTCCTCAGTGGCACTGGCACTATTGGTGGTGGCATCCACTGAAGTCACTGAGGCTTTCTGGTGCTGTTGCTGAGCAGCCAGAATGGCGGATTGGGACTGACGCTTCAATTTCTCCTCTTCAAATACGACTTGGTCGACAGCTATCTGGGCATCTTCAAAAATGCGCCAAGACACATTAAATTCACGCTCCCACTCCTCTTCTTCGTCGTGTACACTACATCTTTCTACGTCGTCCAGAACATTGAAAATCTCATCCTGGGTGAGTAGTATTTCTCGTTTCAACTGTACAGCATCGTCAATCTGGGGCTGAAGCCTCTTTGGATCGATCCATACTTCCACATAGCTTTCTGTTGTTTTTTCCAAAATGTACGCAGTACATGCCCTGATGCGCTCGTATCTTCGCATGCACCGGCGTCGACGCTTCTGCGCGTCCTTGATGGCCTGCAGGCCTTTCTTCTGGGAGTCATCTTCCTGACAAGTTGTGGCTGTAGCACAACCTTCAGTGGCTTCACTAGTACGATTAGAGTCTTCACTTGACATCATATCCTATCCTGGTCACAGCACCATGTCACGAACGGACATAAACGAGGGAAAATAAGGGGGTCTAAAATACTATTACTACTGCACTCCAGGGCAGTTCAACGGTGGCTGTGATCACAGTCCCTCGTCTCCGTCGTGAGAACATCAAAAACTCATCATATCAAGTGCTATTATCGAAAACACTGTAACGAGAAGAAGGTCTAACCAGACACAACTTCCATACCAAAAAACCAGAAAACTAGACCAAGAAGAAAAACTGTTCTCCGCTCTAAAAACACGGTAAACGATTATGACGTAAGGCGTCCAAAAGGAGCGAGAGTTTGAACTCCCGTTTGAACTTACAACAGTCAACAGATATGGCTGTAACTAAGTCACGTAAGAGATAGTAGGGGTCAAAGCATGCATACGCGAAATGTGTACAATAATGCACGACGTGGGAAAAGTGGGAAGTAGTAAGTTCATGACTGCGCAGTCATCATGACATTCACAGCCATTGTAGCTTCCTCCGTATAAGACTGTTTTCACAGCCATTTCAGCTCATTTTCTCTCGGTACTAAGCTGTTGATCTTGCACTTGTGTTTATTTTGCCCGTATTGCTATCTATCTATGTCTATGAGCGACATGTCGACACGACAGCTTAGATAGCAGGGAGTCGTAAAATACCGGTATTTTACGACTCCCTGTTAGATGTATGTAATCAAGCACGCTCAGGAGGTCATGATGCCTGATGGCTGAATCTTGCCTGAGCCTGCAGCCCAAGGGCCGTAGCGCGTAGGCCCGAGGGCTGCAGGCAAGGGCAAGATTCAGCCATCATGACAGACAGAGCGTGCTTGATTTGATTTCTTACATCGCGAAGCAACATATTAGGGAAGGTCAAAGGTCGAAAGGTCGAAAGGTCGAAAAATTATTCCCGAAATGACGTCAAACGGTCCGAACATTCCAGAAATGACGTCAAACGGTCCTGAAACTCCCGAAATGACGTCAAACGGTCCTGATGGCCTGATTATGCCCGCGGCGGGAAGATCGCCTATTGGCCATGGCCCCGGCAACGATCACGTGTCATGTAAGAAAGCTAGCTCATGGTCGACTCCAAGCTAGCCAAGGCAACGCATCCAACGCGCGACCCTTCACTTCATGCAGTCGTAGATCTCTACGCGAATGACTGTTGGGACATTCTTCCAAAACATGACGTCACAGAATTCGTTAAAAAAAGACAACTTTTGTCGCAAGCGGCTAGCCTGTCGCAAACGCGAGACTCATCATGGGCGCGCTCGAGCTGCGAAGCGCGACACACGAGCGCGACCCAAACTGTGTTATTAAATTTTATTTTCGTTCTACTCGACAATTCCAAAAATCAGTGCCATTGCTGCATTGGCTTTTACTAGCCTTTAGCTTTGCCCTTGAACTTGAAATCTCGTGCCTTATTCTTTCTCGGGGACTGGTGTTGGATATTGAACGGGCGGAGTGACCGCCGGGATGATGGATGAAGGAGATGATGGCCTAATCTTGGCTGCGCGCATTCTGCGGCGTGGCCTGCCACTAGTGTTTGATTCACAGAGGGTGTCACAGGCATAGCTGGAGGAAGAAAGGTGATGTGAACTTCAGAAGTTCTGTCATCGCAGCACTGTATAGAGGGCCATTAGAGGTTGTGTAGGCTGTATGTTTGATTTAGCTTGATTTAGCTCAGTGTTGAGCTTGCACCACACCACAGGTAGCATATTGAGTATTCTTTACATTATCCATATAACTTGAACCGCTCTGTGAGCGGTTCTGAAAAACCTTTACTGGCGCTGCCCCGTCGTAAAAGTAAGAAATTAAAACTGGCTCATTGTACCCCCAAATGTGAACTGATCCACCTAAATCGCAAATGACGTGACCCGAACGCAGCAGTAGCACGAGGGTGCACTTGTGGTGTGCCGCAGGGCTCTGTACTAGGACCCATGCTGTTCTCCATATACACCAGAGATATCCCCTCGGAATCTGCGCCGGCATCATCATGATCATCACTGCAGTTTGCGGATGCCATCGCCCTGGCATGTGCAAGACGGACAGCGCAAGAGGTGTGTGATGCGCTCAGCTTGGCGGTTACCTCCCTCTCAAGTTGGCTGGACGCTCGTGGTCTTGTATTAAATGCAAAGAAGAGTAATGTATTGGTTTTTACCAGCAGCAGTGGGCAGCAGCCGGACGTGGGTGTACGCTGTCGAAATGATGTCCTTCCGCACACCACCAGCGCGAAATACCTCGGCGTCTTAATCGATGAACGAATGACCTGGCAACCGCAAGTTGACCGGTGCATCTCACGCACTGCTAGGAAGATCGGTAGCCTGTGGCGGGCGCGACACTGCCTCACTCTAGCTAGTCGAAGCAAGTACTTCCTATCTGTCATCATGCCGGATTTGATATATGGATCGTCAGCATATGGCTCCGGCTTGACCCACAACCAGCTAAACCGCTTGCAGTTGGCCCGAAACCGCGCAGCAAGGGCGGTGTTCGGACGACCACGATTTACCAGGGCCAGTGATCTCTTGGAGAGGCTCTCTGTTTATCGCATGGACGAGGTATATCGCCAGAAACTGCTCGTGCTGGTATGGCAGTGCGTTCATAACTGTGCCAGTCCTGCTCTGCAGGCACTGTTTGTTCGCAACTGCGGAGCAACTCGCCTTCAGCGCAGTCTGGGCCTACAACAACCAATAGCCAGAAGCCGAGCAGGCCAATGCCGACCGGCATCTCGCGGTTGCCTGTTATGGAACCATATACCTGACACGGTGCGAGCTATGGGCAACATCCCAGCATTCCGCCAAGATGCCATTCCCTACACGTAAGTCGTTGTAGACTGCTACACAGTTGGCCATACCATGGTATTCAGTACCCACGAACTTTGCAAAGCCGATGATGTGATAATGTACCGTGGTGCATGCACCGGTGGTACCACCACTTCGTTGACTGCCTCCCGTTCATTTCTGTGCTCCTGTCTTTATTCTCGTCAGCTGTGTACTTCAGCAGTTCAATTCTGTGCTCCAATCCTCTTTATTCTCGTGAGTTGTGTACTCGTTTTGCTGTTTGTCTGGTTTATTTGAATTCGCACAGTAAATGTGTACTTCAGTTATTCTCTCCTCCCTCTTCTCAGTTTGACTCTCCGCTGGCCTTCTCTCCTCCCATCCCCTTACATCGTATTGGGCCTCCGCACACACTACATTGTCACATAGCACAACTCAACCATTCGCTACCCTGTTATTGAGCACTCCTGCTCGTTTGGTCTCGCAAATCCAAATAAAATCAATCAATCAATCAGGTTCCTACCTGTGGATGCAGCTGGGGACGCTGGTCCACAGGCCATGGTCGTCGATGAACTCCCATGTTGGATATCCAATGGAAGTAACTATGTGTACTAGCCAAGTTACACTGCCACTGATACCATGTACTAGTGATGGTGTTACCCTATGATGTGCTGTGATCCTGTGCCCTCCCGACCTCGTGCTACTGGTGCGTTCGGGTCCCGTCATTCCCGATTTACGTGGATCAGTTCACATTTGGGGGGACAATGGGCCAGTTTTAATTTCTTACTTTTACGACGGGGCAGTGCCAGTAAAGGTTTTTCAGAACCGCTCACAGAGCGATTTTTATATGGATAATTTCAGTTCTTTTTCCGTTCCCTCCCCACCCCTACCCCGAAGGTAAACATGATGAACACGCGCGCGATGTACTGTATGTAGGCATGAGACTGCGATAACACACTGATACATACCAGCCCTCCCCACTTTGCTTACCCCGCACACAGACACACAAACACGCGGATGCACACGGTACACTCACACATATGCACATGCACACGACACAAACAGGAAATTCTTCATGTAAAATGCCATGCAAAGCAGTGACCACTGTACTTTTAAAAGGAAGTCAGTTGTGGAACAAAATAATTCAACTACAACGTGTAGACAAGCTGACGGCCAAAGCACAACATAGCAAACATGACATTTGCCCAAGGATTGCAGTTTGCAGACCACGCCATGGAAGCAGCGAATACAGAATGTAATATCATACAAAGTGACAAGCAAAGAAGTGGCCACCATACACCAGAGACTTGCAGAAAGTCACATATCCAACAGATGGAAAAGTGAACAGCAATCTGGTACAGCCCACACAAGACAAAGCTGACCTGATACTTGTCCCAGGATCGCAAGTGGCAGATCCTTTTTAATGCATAACATGCAGGTGTACGTTACACGCATGGACAAAATCTGACTGTGTCGCCAGTATACAATGTCATCACATATATACCCCACAAGTTACACACCTGCACAGTAGAAGCACAATGAAAGCAATGGAAAAGTACGATGTGGTTGCTGAAGCATCTTCGCACTTCAAATTCAGACTTCAATGTGGTCGTCACGAGATGATATACCTGCAAGATACAAGTGATGCAGAAAGAAAGCAGAAGGTCGTGAGGTAGGCTATGAGACACCACAAACGGGTCACCTAAATGTATGTTCAGGGCTAGTGCACTCGCACGCAGAATTATCATAATCGAGCATTTCCCAAACTGAGAAGTGCATGCACAGGAGCAATTTTGCCGCTGATGTGATGCGCAATTCGAGACGATCTGCGATGCTGCGTGCTCACCTCTGATGCCGATTACTTCCTTGCTTAGACCGGTCCGGTCTGCTCTCCCTTCACTCTCTTCTAAATCCTACTTGGAGCAGTAAGGCTGTGTCACTGCTCTTACTGATAACCCAGTTAGATTGTCGTCATTGTTGTGAAAGCAATATCATCGTCATTGTGGTAATAACATACGTTTTTGCACAGCGGCTGGCGCTAGAACGTGCAGCAAGCAGCACGCTTGTACTTCGGATTTTGCGATTTTTTCGAGGGCAATGGCTTCCTTTTTGCTTTGGCTACCTACGAAGTATGACCAAAAATCCATGAGAAGTATTTTTTGGAGCTGGAGTACGAGTGGGGTTGTCTGATAAGTGCTAGCAAGAGTACATAACCCCCCAGAGTGTGCAACGCCTGATCCAGCTCTGCATAGGGTCTTGGTCGAGCGGAATCGGATCTTTGCGTCATAATACCGTACACATCTGAAGGGAACCCGGGGAGTCGCGGGTACTCTTGGATCGAAAACAATGGTGCCCTGCCTCGAGACCGGCCTTGCGCTGGTGTGAAGTGTACGCATGACATCAGAAGATCCGATTCCGCTCGACCAAGACCCTACACAGAGCTGGATCGGCGTTGCACACTCTGGGGGGTTATGTACTCTTGGTGCTAGGAGAACCCTCCTTTGTGGCTGCAGAGCGCTAAAACGTGCCCTGTTGGCCGAAAAATCCGAATTTTTTCTCTCCCGGGGGACACCCTTGTACCATTCCCAACCACCCTGTGACACCCCTGTCATTGTAGCTTACCTGCTGTCTTTCTTGGAGATGCAGTAGCAGCTGAGGACTTGCATACAATCTCTGTTTCAACTGCCACTATTTCCACAATGTTGTCAGGTATTGGTGCGGGCGACACACGCAGATTCTACACACGCAGAAGGAAAGAAACACCGTGAACATATACCTGTTACTACATGTACATGTTGCGACTGTCAAATATTCCAGAGGCAGATGGTGGGGATGGAGAGGAGAGCAACATCAGCAACAGCAGAAGCAGCAGCAGCAATAGCTGCACTATTAGCAGCAATAGCAGCAGCAGCAGCAGTACCACACAGCAATTCACCACACCATTACCTCAGATTGTATTCCCGGTATGAGCATTAAATATCCAGTGGCCTTGTCCTCGCGAAATCGGCTTTCATACTAGTTCAACAGAATCTACAGCGCACGTTGCCCAGGCTCATTAACAGAATATACAGCATACATTGCACAGGAAAATGCTTGTACATTGCAGAGGTGAATACTGGCTTTCATACTCGTTCAACAGAATCTACGGTGTACATTTGACAAGAGAATACAAGGCAAAACGATAACACAAATCTACGCCAATAGTTATTATACAGCAACAGCAGCACAATCAGTAAGCCAACAACAGCAGCAGCACCACAAGCACCAGCAATAGGGCAGCTACACCTGTACAGTCCATTTCAAAACTATAGACGCGTAGTGTTTTTGAAATATTTCAAATTTGGCTGGAACTTTTTGAGAATAGTTTTCGGAATATTGCTCAGGTCCGCTCCACAATTACTCTCATATAGTTTCTAAGCGATTGGATAACAGACGCCCAATTTGGAAAAAAATATGCACAAAGGGATCACAGATTTTATGTGGTATAGATGCTGGCATAACGGTTTTTGCCTAGGTACGCGTCTATAGTTTTGAAATGGACTGTAGTACTATCAACAGCACCAGCAGTCGGCCAGTAACAGCAACACCGGCGGCAGCAGCAGCACCATCAACAAGAACAAACAAAACACATACTTTTGCACTTTGGTATATTTCATGTCGACCAGTCGGTTGGTGGCCTCCTGCTGCAAAGCGCGCAATGTTTCCGGCCACACCAAGTCCACTCCATCCATATGACGTACCTGCGTGCAGCAACAACAACAACAACAGCAACAGCAGCCGCAGCAAGCAAGCAGTAGGAAGAAGAAAAGACAAATGAGCAATTTGTACACGGTTGCGAATACATACTATACAGCTTGTGATGGGGCATTGATAAACCAATATAAACACATTGCACAAACCAATCAGGAGTTAAAAATCCATACTTTCTCAAAACAAGCCTAAGCATGATCATGTATGACATGAGCCTCAAACGCCCACCAAACCCCCCAACACGGCATACAGGGGAGACAGTAGTGCAGTGGAGTGCTCAACTACAGTGCATCATTTCTCACGACTCCTATCCGGACCTCCAAGTTACGGGCATTTTGGTCTACGGGGAACCCTGTGAGTGAGTTCTAAAGGATATATTACTAATTTTCTACCAATTTGTGGAAATACCAGGAGTGACGTAATATGCCAGATCTACGTGCCTTCCACATCAAGATGTACATGATTACGAACATTTCCAAATGAAGGGCAGAGCCCTCGGTCCCGGACCGCCCAGATACAACAGATAAGAGTGTACTACATATAACGTTACATGCATAGGATTGATTGATTGCAGCTTATATCAATCATATCTTCTGAAAATTGTAGTCCAAGTTGCTGTCTGATGATCGGTTAAAACCGTGAAACTCAGAGTTACAGCAGAAACGCTTTTGATTCTCTCAAGTGTATGTAGGATTGCTGATGTACCAGACTGGGTGACTCCACTTGAGGCTCCAACTTAGTCTTGGTGAACTCCAGGCTAATGACGTTGTAGAGTTTGTCGCGTTTCGCATTCGTGTAGTTCTGTAGTACCTGCACAAGAGAGTACATGGCGTGTGCCAAACACACACACACACACACACGCGCGTACACACACACACACGCGTACACACACACACACACAAACACACACACACAAACACACACAAACACACACACACACAATGTAGCTCCGCGTCTCTTGGAACCTAAGAAAACACCCAAAAGACACCATGCCACCAAGACTTGCACTGAAAGGCTTACTTTGTAAAGTTTGCTCGTGGTGGAGCCTTATTGTGAGGACACATCCATGATGTCAATAGTACGCCCACGCCTGCCCATCACCCAAAGACCCCCTTGCGAGCTCACTGGCCCATTGCCCGCCATCCTCCTGGCACCTCCACCCATCTGCTGTACACTGCCTCCCCATCGCCTCTTTTTGCGCTTTCATGCCCACACCTGCCTGTTGCCTGCCACCCTCCTGGCACTTCTACTGTCGCGCCGTGGCCCGCACCAGCTGTTCTCCCCATACCTTACACCAGATTTAGCGCTAAATTTGTTTATGCTTGTGGCCCTATGTATTTATAAGCATACTGACTCACTGTTGGGTAGACCCGAGTATCAGTTGTCTGATGTTTGCCTAACGGCATGAAACTCAAGAGTTACAACCAACCTGAACGTCCTCCGCTGAGTCTGCTATGATTTGAAAACTCCGTATGGCGGAACCCAGATGCGCATGCAGTTTACGTAAGACTTTCCGTAGATCGACTACATTTTTTAACTAACGTAATTAAGTTATGCGGAACATCTCTAACAAAGTACAGTGATTGCAGGGAAATACTTCGACAACTGCAGACAGTCAGTTATAGGCGATTCACACGACAGCCACTTGCACGTTTTACGGCGAGTGATTTACGAGAAAAGTGACTGTGTGGATTCACATGGCTGCACTCAACAGCGGGCACGTTTGCATTTTTGAATGATTCACCCACCAGTTGCCATGAGTATTTCAAATTTTCAAAAACACGTGTACAATAATTATCATGGTGAAAAGAGCCGCGTAAAAAATCAAGTCTTGTTTTGCGCTTTTTGGTGTAAATATAGTTTACTGCTTGCCGCAGAGGGGCTGAGGGCTAGACCCACAGGACACTTCTGATCATAACTCACTAGACCTAGTCTTTCTTAAACTTGCATTCAGTTTCGACAGGGACAATACCCCCGACACACGACCAACAAAATCTCTAATTGTCTTTGACGCCATCAGAATATCTATGCAAACACAGCCTAACGGACATAGTCAAACAAGCCGTGACCTGATGTTGACACAGCCTGGTCAGTATGGAGCTTGCATGGCGAGTCTGCAGTTAAGGAATTCATACCTCAAAAGTTGAAGCGAAATAACCTGAACAACAAACTGTGGTATAATGCAGGAAAATCAATTACAAAAATGTCACGTTCGGAAATTTTATTGGGTGGTCATCCCGTTTGACTGTGCGAAGTAAAATTAAAACAACCAAATGGTTGGGTTGATCTGCACTGTGCAACCGATTCTCTCACCTTTCTTCCTCCAGCTATGCCTGTGACACCCTTTGTGAATCTGCGAAACACTAGAGGCAGGCCACGCGAAAATGAGAATGCGCGCAGCCAAGTTTAGGCCATCATCTCCTTCATCCATCATCCCGGCGGTCACTCCGCCCGTTCAATATACAACACCAGTCCCCAGGAAAGAATAAGGCACGAGATTTCAAGTTCAAGGGCAAAGCTAAAGCCAATGCGGCAATGGCACTGATTTCTGGAATTGTCGAGTAGAACGAAAATAAATAATCGAAGGCGATCATAATGACGGTCAGATTCGACACACACGTGACACAGTTTGGGACGTCGTCACGTCGCGCTCGTGTGTCGCGCTTCGCGCAGCTCGAGCGCGCCCAAGATTGGGCTCGCGAGCGCGACAGGCTAGCCGCTTGCGACAAAAGTTGTCTTTTTTTTACGAATTCTGTGACGTCATGTTTTGGAAGAATGTCCCAACAGTCATTCGCGTAGATCTACACGTCGATCGAGTGTAGTGTAGCAAGATAAGAATTTTTATTTCTGGCGAGTCCAGTTCGTTTTTGTAGTCTGTTTCTTCATCTACGGTATCTTTCGTTTGAAGTACAAGTGTGTGATATTGCCTCAAGCATGGCGTCATCGGATACTGCAGACAATCCTCCATCAAAAGAGACTGCTTGTCTAAGTGCTGCTCGCGCGTTCAAAGATGAAGGCAACGCTCTCTTTGGAAATGGTCAAATAGGAAAGGCTATGCGCAAGTATCATGTTGCCCTTATCCAGGTGAAAGGTGTGGAGCACCTGGGCTCTCTGGGTTCGAATGTACTTATTGCTAGTATAGTGCCTGGGGCGGAGGATGTCGATAAGGACACTCTGCACCATTTGGCAAAGCTAAAGCGCCAAGCTGACATCTCTATCCGCTTACCTTGCTACAACAATTTATCAGGTGAGAAGTGGGAAATAAGAAGCTGTGCATGCTGCAAGCGCTGTGTAACCTTATTAAACGTGGTAATCGTTTCTCAGCCATAATAATGATAATAAATTGTCAACAAGGAGTCTATCTATCGATGCGTTCATGTAGGGCTACTCTGGTAATGTGAGTTGCACACCAAAACAATCAAAAAATTCAGACTGGTTGGGATTTGAACCTGCGATTAACTATGGTCAGCGGATGGCATTAATAACCACACGCCGAAAAGACAGGAGATAAATCGTGGGCTTTCGATATAAAATCGCTACTGGCTCCCTGGCCAAATTCTAATACATGGGAGAAGGCTAGAAACCTGACCGGAATTTAACTCAGTTTTTAACTGCGGGTCCAATTGTTCCAAAACCTTCACAGAACAATTTTCCATGCTCAAACAAGTAATGTACTTCTATGCACTTTGTTGTCCGATTTTCCCTTATCTTCATGCATTTTTTGGCCAAAACCTAAGTGCTTACTATTTTGAAATGACTGTAAGCTATGGTGTAGTCGTCATCCACTCAGCGACCGTTCAGCATTTTTCTCAGACTTCGAAGCATTATTATTACCGCATTTCCCCGGATATAAGTCGCGCCTGTTTACGCTTAACGTCTCGGGCAGAGAAGGGGATGCGACTTACAATCGAGTGTGATATCCTACTTATGTGAATAATATTGAAACAATATTCTTCAAATCTGAAAGTAGGGGTGCGACGTAGGGCGCATTTGGTTTCTGCCATTGTGTTCAACTCACTATTGTAGTGCACCATCAGCTGATCATCAGGTGCATAAATAGTGAAATAGGGCTGTGTTTGATGGGGAGTAACGGATAAACGATGTGTTCAGTAGAGGCGTGCTCCTGCCTCGGCACACACCCAAACCACACAAAGGACCAGCTCACGACTTTAGCAAGAGAACTGTTAGAAAACTCTGACTCCAAGCCGCACTTGCTTGAAGCCTTCCAACGATCTCATAAGCACTATAGCCAACTGACTCCCGCAGTGAAAATGTTTAGCTTATAACACTTGCATGCCAAGAACTCCATCAGCAGGCGCGAAAGAAGGTGAAGACAAAGCCTGTGACTTAAAAGTGTGAACCCTAACGAAAGTCACAGCTACATGTAACACAAAACGAGGGTGCATATCAGTGACATGTGCGACCTGAACACGATGTACAGTCAACTTCGCTAATAACGACTGCGGATATAACGACAATTCGCGAATAACGACCGAATTTCCATGCCCAGAGCAAAGTCCCATCTAACTGTATACATTTAACTTCGGATATAACGACTATCTGAATAACGACAATTCGCGTATAGCGACATGCTTTTAGTGCCCCGAGGTCATATTCACTGCTTGAATAACGACTTTCTGGGCTTTTGACAGCTATTTCAAGTACCTGTCAGTCAAGTACATGTACCTGTCATGCAGAAGTACCAGAACCTATGGTGATGGATATTATTCATAATTAATAATTATTATAAAGGCACACATGCAAGAAAATGCAGCCAAGGGGGAGGGGGCTTTTTCTTCCTTTTTTATGTTGGCTTCAAAATTGTTGGATTTACCAGCACACCTATATGTATACAATGTACATGTAGTTGTACATGATTGTACAGTAATCATCATACATGTACATGTACATGTCTCTGGCCCTGTATCTACTGTATCAAAAAGGCATAATATTATTATTAATTTTTTCAATTAATTTCCCTTGCATATTGAATTTTTAGTTCCTTTCAACTGCAATATGAAAATAAAGTACACATTGACATAGAGCAAGAAAAGAGCTTGATTTTGATATGCATGTCATACTATACAAAATATGGGTTCACATACATTCAAATGGGACTTCGGTTATAAGGACACTTCGCGAATAAGGACACTTTTCTGATGCCCCGCCGAATGTCGTTATTGGCGAAGTTGACTGTATACCAGCCTCCTCGGACCAGCAACCAGAAGATTCTGGAAGTTTCATCTTCGTCTGTGCTTCTATAAGAACTAAGTGTGATGCTTCATGAAAATTGTATTTCTGTCCCAGTGAGTATCCCTATTAATAGGCCACACTCTTCCTATTTTGGTGGAGGTGTATGGACTCAATTGGGAATGTAGACACACTGAGCGTCGCAGCTTCCTGAGCACCTTCGATGCAGCACCCAGACAACTACAATGGTGAACTTTTGATATTTAGTAGTGTTGAAACGAATAATCGAATAATCGAATAATTTAGAATATTCGTGGGCTGAACGAATAATCGAATAATCGTAGGAATTCACAGAAATCGAAAAAAAATCGTAGGGTGTACATTTTCACTTTTTCAGCTTCGATCAGTCGAGTTCAACGTGAATGCGCCATGCATCGATCTCCGTAGATCTACGGATCTACTGCGTGGTGCTAGCTAGCTGTGTACATGTACGACTAGAACTCTCCATGTGTTGCAGTCCGACAAGGTCACGTATCTACGAGTACGCGAGTTCATGAGGCATGACCCACAGCCGGCTAGCCAGCCGCAGACTAGCCTGTGGGCATGGAAAGCTGGTTGTGGTGATGCACCAGTCTAGTCGTCGTGACCGTGTACGGTCGGTGACCTCCCCAAAATCTCGCGATGTGGACCACAATGATACAATCGCATGTAGCGAAACTAGTTCAAAGTACATGCATGTAGTGACCGAAAACAAAGGAGAAAGAGTCCTGAAAAGTGGTCGAATCGTTGATAGTTGTTTTGCTTGCTGTTACTTGTCGCGAACTTACCTTGCCCTTGGATGTGTGCTGCGCGTCTCATGAGCATGTCAACTTCAAAGCAGAGTTCCGTGTGGAGCAGTTTCGACAAGTTCGATGACGGAACCAGAGTGCAGTGCAAACTTTGTTCGAAAACGCTGAAGTACAATGGCGGAACGACCAGCGCGATGCGGGCCCACTTGGCGCTGCACGACAAAAAGAAAATCGCCACGTCCGCTTCTTCTGAGCCGAAGCGCGATGCAGCCGGAACAGCTCCGCAGCAAGCTTCTCTTTCGACGTTCTTCGGCACGAAAGTGTGCAGCTCCAAGCGCAAGCGAGAGATCACTGAGCACCTTGTCGACTGGTGCACCAGTAGTCTGCGCCCAGCGTCCATCGTTCGAGATCGTGGACTGATCGATTTGCTGAACTTCCTTGAACCAGGATATACCGTCCCGAGTCATACAACGATCGTCAACAACATTCGACACCGATATAACGAACTGCGGACAGTACTGAAAGCCAGTCTGGAGAACGTTGATGGCCTCTCTGTGACGACGGATTTGTGGTCCTCCTCACGGAACGTCGGCTATGGCACGTACACTGGTCATTACATCGATGCAGGATGGATCATTCGCTCTGTTGTTCTTGAGACTCCTGAGTTCTCGGAACGCCACACCGCGGTAAACATTGTTGATGCACTGAAATCTGTTCTGAAGGACGTAGGTGTGGATGTCAGCAAGAAGCTGGTGTCACTCGTGTCTGACCAAGCAGCCAACATGGTGTCAGCGGGTAAGCTGCTGCAAGACGAATTTCCAGCAGTCCTGCCTGTGTTCTGTGCCTGTCATCGCCTGCAGACTGCGCTGCGACACGTCATGGATTTGAAGGATGTGAAGAGCATTCTCACTGCATGTCGCCGCCTTGTTGGGCACTTTAAGCATAGTAATGTCGCCAGCCATGCTCTTCGGGAACGGCAAAGCCAGAGCAAGCATGCTCTCCAGCTTGTTTCTGAGGTTGCAACTCGCTGGAACAGCTCTTATGACATGGTCCAGCGCCTGTCCGTGCTCCGTGCGCCGGTAACTGCTGTGCTGAATGACACGAGTGTGACGAAAGCCAGCGACCGTGCTCTGTGCCTCTCACCAGCCCAATGGACGTGCATTGAGGAGTTGCGTGACCTACTGAAATGTTTCAGGGACGTCACCGTGATGTGGTCCTCGGAGCGAGATGTGACAATGTCCACCGTCCTGCCAGCTGTGAATGGCCTGGCTGAGGAGTGCGAGCCTGACGATGGTGACTCCCTCTTTGTAGCTGCAGTGAAAATCAAGCTGAGGAGTGAGCTGGAGAGGAAGTTCAACTTCTCCCACGTTGATCCGGACTCGGCCGAAGCGCTGGCCGCTGCACTGGATCCCCGGTATCGCAGCCTCACGTTCATGTCAGATGATGACCGTCAGGCTGTGCACAAGCAAGTTGAGCACTTGGCCCGCGAGCACAGTGTGTCCTGTGTCTTCTCCACCGTATCTGATGCCAGTCAGGAGGAGGGTGATTTGGAGCCAGCGGCCAAGCGTTCCTGCATTGCCGTGGAGCCATCACCAACCAGGACATCTGTGCTCGCCCGCCTCACCGGAAAGCACAACTTCCAGGCTGCTTCGAAACGGAGGGAGAGCTTCTCTGTTGCAGAGCAAATGAAGCTATTCCTGGAAGGCGACATGTGCGACGTGGATGGTAGCCCACTTGAATGGTGGAAGGCACGTGAGGCTACCTTTCCTGACCTTGCAGCCTTGGCAAGGAGGTTCTTGGGAGCTCCTGCGAGCTCAACTGCTTCAGAGAGGAATTTCTCGGCAACGGGAATTCTAACAGACAAGCGGAGGGCAAACCTGGGAAGCAGGAATATCAATGCCATCCTGTTCCTCAACAAGAATGCCAAGACGTTGAAGTCAGTGATGGCATCTCAGCCAGTAGCCACCTGCCCCGACATCGTTCCGCCATTGCCTCAGCTTCCCCAGCTAGTCTCTGATGACAGCGACTGCGAGGTTGTGTAATGACTCCTGCCTGGGGACTGATTGCTGATTTGTTGCCTTCCTGCTAGCACTTGGCAGCAACACAACCCTGCTACGTGTTTCTTTTACATTATCAATTCATACTTTTTTTTTGTAGGACCCCATCAAGTCGTTGTCATTGCTCAGTGCTGACCCTGTCATTGCTTGCACTGGGTACTACTCGTAGCATTGCTTCTCTTCTTTCCATACTGTTCTCTTGCTGTGTGCCAGTGCATGGACCGGTATGCATGTGCAGTTGCGTACCTGAACAATACAAAAACCGATAATCATCAAAAAATTGCAAAAAAACTACTTTTTTGTGCTGAAAAAGTGTTGAAAATTCCAGCATGCACATGATAGAATATAGAATATTCGTTCGATGAAGGACGAAATTATTCGATAGATTATTCGTTCGAAGATTTCGTGTTCGGTTTAAACACTAATATTTAGGTCGAACTTCTCGGCTAAATCTGAGGAAAGGAACTGAAAGTTTGACATTTTATCTTCTGCATTCTTTGTTCTGCAAACCTTCCTGTACTTGGCAGCTTGTATGCTGAAGCTGGAGGATTGGCCGAAGGCGATTTCCTTTGCTTCCCAGGTAAGTTAGTTGTACACATACTACAACACTGGTTGCTGCACAGCCCAAGCACTTCTTTACCCTGGGGCCGAGTTTCACTGTAATTTAACTTACATCTGGAACCTCTCCCTAAGGGGTGCTGTAGCAATGCACCTTCCTCATTCTGTCCAGCTAGTCCTCTTTTTCTAACAGAGTAGAACGGGGAGATGCCTATCAGTATGCAATAACGTTTGAAATTTAGATACTAGTACGCATTTCCACATCCAAGTAAATTACCGTATTTTCTCTAATAAGAGCCCGGGGTTCTTTTTATTTCAGTGGCAGCTCTACCTGCGCTTCTATTAGACACTGTGCTTTTTTTCATTGTTCACTAGCACTGTAGAGAGTGTAGTGTAGATATATTATGACTTTTAAACACAATAACGCAAAGCCTCTTGTACAGGCGAAACAGAAATAAAAACAATCAATGATTAGGCCACAACAAAAATATTTCGTGTTTCCGGTCGGCACCCCCCCCCCCCGAAAAAATACGCCCGGTCGGTCGGAAAATTATTATTTTTTTGGTTTGAAAGTTTATTTCCCTGCTGTATTCATAGACATGAGCCAAATTGAGAAAGTTTGGATCAGACACTGGTGATACACAATATATACATATTTACACATGGAATATGGAGTAGAATACCACCGCGGGACGCAGTAGATGTATTGCATAGTTCAGAGATTTCTGAGAATTGTATGCAATACCAATGGGTCAGCATCAATAGACGCATAGTACTGACATTGACACAAAAACATGCCTGCACAAAATTGCACGCACACTACATATAGTACTACTAGCTACTAAAGCTACTAAAGCTCGGCTGCCAATAGGCCACATCACTCCCAAAGGAGCCAGAGTCGAGGGCAGGGCAGAAATGGAGATGACAAGTTAATTAAGTCAGCCAGCAGGCGGAAACGGCGGCTACACACACGCACACACACATACACCCACGTGCATGCACACATACCTCAACAATCACACTCTTACTCAGGCATGCAACAAAAACAATGCACATGCAGGTGAGGGGAGGAAAGGAAAGAGAACTCATGGCAGCTGTCAATAGATCCATTCTACTTCCTCTGGTGACGTGTAGGAGCTGGCTTCTGGCAAGTGGCACAAACTGGCAAGACAACCTTGAACTTAGCCACGAGCTCAGGGTCACACATTGCACTTGCACTTCCACAATGGCAGCAGATGTCTGGCAATTTGCGTGGGCAGGCGTAGTATGCGAATTCCACATGGTCAGCGCATCGCAGGTTTTGCTGCACTGGACACAAAGCGGGCTGCTCTGAGCAGCCATCGTCAGCACTGGACACAAAGCGGGCTGCTCTGAGCAGCCATCGTCAGCACTGGACACAAAGCGGGCTGCTCTAAGCAGCCATCGTTCTTGGCGACCTTTTCTCCAGCTCCGGAATTTTCGTCTCTGCATTCAGTCAAACTTTTATTTCGGTTCGAGCAAAGCAACACAATGCTTTCAGTGTTTTTGCTTGTTTTTCTTTGTTTTTTTTGTACTTGTCGTAAACCAAAAAAATTCCATAATTTTTGAAAAAACGGACCCGGTCGGCCGACCGGAAACGCGAAATCTTTTTGTTGTGGCCTTAGATCGAGCGCACACGGTGATGGTCATGTACAATGTCATTCATGACACTTGACATATATATTAATGTAAGCCCCAAGCTGAGATTCTTGCTTCAGCAACAAGCGCTGCCAAGTCTGAAGCCATTGCTGGTAAGAATGCCTTGCGTGCACCACACAGGCACATCAGCGCTGAACGGACCAGTGCAAAACCAATCTGACAGCGGATGGAAGCTAGGGTGATGCTGTATGGTCCCCAGTCTTGGCAGCGAGGACAGAGGCGATACGTTTGTAGAGCGAGGCGCCATGCTTTCCCATGCTTCCGGTGGTAGAGAAGATGGCGGGGACAAAGCTGGAATGCTCCACCTCCCTCAGGCGCTGCTCATACGCACGACGCTTAGCCTTTTCATGGCGGACATAGGTAGCAGCAAGTGAGTTGGAACGGTTTGAAGACGCATGGGGGTTGAATACCCGTACATCAATGTAGGTGCGTTCGAACCGTCCCCCCCCCCCCCCCCCAATGCCACTAGCCACGACGTCTAGGCGTGCCTGGTCATCAGCAATAGCAGTGCAATAACGGAGTTGCTTTCGGAGAGTGGCTGGAGGTGTGGCTCAACTGCCACCTGGTGGGCCACCCGCCTGAGCAGACGAGCAGTGAGGTCCCTCACCTCGTTGTGACGAATGGACGGAAATCCACCCGTCGGACACGAGAGGGAGTGAGACACAGCGAACTGCTGCCCACACGCGCACACTGATGGTAGACGGACCGGCAGCCAGTTGAAGCGAAGGCAAACAGCATCCCGAAACTCCGACTTTGTCAGGGTGAAGCCATGCCGTTGAAGGGGTCGGCACATGAGCCAGCTTGAGGCACCCGGTTCCGAAGCCAGAGCGATCACTCGCTGTAGCTCTGAACTGGCGGAGGAAGAGAAGGCCTGGGCTGCCGCGCGAATTGATTCCCCGGCTGTCGCCACCACGCACTTCTTGGCAGCGCGAACATCATGGATGGCCGTGCAAAGAACTGGATCTTGGGCCAGAACACGGCAGGTGAGGGAGGCAGTGATGTCAAGGGAGGACTGGTGCTGTTCGGCCCGGGACGACGGATGAGGTATGCCAAGACCTCCAAAGTGACATGGCAACGCTATCAGGGTGCGCTCCTCAGCATTGACGGGGCGACCTAGGAGAGTAGGAAGGAAGATATTAGTGACAGCAGCATCAAGCGGAGCTAGGTGCTCAGCCATACAAAGGTTGTGCCCTGCAGAGAAAAGTCCATTTGCTCTGCAGGCTGTATACATACACTGAGTAGGCTGCTTGCAGCTCAGTGACAGCATACTGGCTAAGGCGGTGAACTTGTGTGCTCCACTCCTCAACCTTCTGCTGCAGGTAGCTGGTGACAAAGGCTGGCGTGCCGATTGCAGCGCCGAGGTATCTTGCACCATCAGGTTGGATGGTGACACCTGTGCCGTCGAAAATACGAACGGCCTCATTGAGGAGCTGAGGTTTCACAACCAGGATGGATTTGGACGGGTTGGGAAAGTATCCGTACTGGGGGGCCCTTTCGGATTAGCCGATCCCACCACTTGCGCACCCGCAGCAGCTTGCCACCCGACCCAGCATCTTCAGCATACCAGGACTGTCCGCACCTTCAGTTGCCACAGACTTCATCAGCGGGGCGATGCCAATAGCATACATGGCCATTGCCACAGGGTCGCCTTGAGTCGTGCCTTCCTCTGATAGGATCGTCTCACCACCAACAAATAGTTTTGCGGGCTGACTGTATGTGTTGACAACCAGACTGTGCTACTGTATAAGTACAAATTTTCGTTTGGAATTAACTTTCGCAAAATTCGTTAGGGGGCACGAAATAGCTAAAGTTTGTACCAAAACTAAAGTTTTTTCTGAACGTTCGGGGTGACAGACCTCGACCAAAAACGAAATATAGTGCGTAACAAGTCTCCTGGTGGAGTGAAATAACGAAGATTCGTGAACGAAAATGTGTACTTATACAGTATTATTGGAGACTGCGCTTTTTTTTTCAGTGCTCCGCTATCGAGCCAACTCCAGTCTCTATAGGCACAAACTGACCATATCAAGACGGATGTTCTCAACCCTACACTCCGAAATATTGTCAAAACTGATGTTTCACAATAACTTGGGTGCCAGGAAGGAAGTAGTAGACCAAACACCTCCCTTAGAATGTGCTTTGCATGCTATAGTGCTGTTTTATATGCCGTCAATGTACTTGTTGCATACTCTAATTGTGGCCCGTGCTACTATTAGAGACTGTGCACTTATTATTTCAAACAATCCTCACCCCGGGTCATTATTGGAGACTGTGCTATTTTTGGAGACCTGGGCTTGTATTAGAGAAAATACGGTACGTATTTTTGACTTTTTGTCTTTGCATTGTGTGTTGTATTTCCTCGCATGGCCGCGTACCTGCTGTGTCTGCTCTCACACAGCCATCTGGCATAACTAAAGCAGCTGTGTACTCAGTGTTCCGCTGGTTCACTTCAACATGAACATGCGATGAGTAAAATGACTAGTTTCTGATGCCGTATTTTGTCAAGTACATGTGCGTGTTTGAAGAAAAAGTTTTCCTGGTCTCCTTTTCTCCCTTACTAGGCACTGGCACTGGATGTGGACAATGTCAAGGCCCTATTCCGTCGTGGTCAAGCATACTATTTTGATCGTGACTTTGGGCGTGCAAAGCAAGATCTTCAGACTGTGTTGGGACTTGATCCAGACAGTAAGTACCGGTAGCTGGCTTGATTTGCAGAGTGCAAGAGAGCAACTTCCAAGGCCACCCTTGCCCTTAGTAGAGCTGGCCCCGGAAGTGTTGCATAATGAGCATGAACCCCTGATGGCTTGAGGTGGTGAACGGCTGCACTACCTTCAAGTACCAGGGCAAGGATGGAGAGAGACAGGGGGGGGGGGGGGGGGGGGCTTGTGGAAGACCAAGCTGTGCGGGTCATCTCAAGGTGTTGAGAATCCCAGAGAAAGAGTGGGAACCTTCGGGCGTTGTTTTCAAAGAATGACTACTGCTTCTACATGTAGCATGATACCTGAAATATACTCATGCAAGGAGATGTGTTCCAGTATGGGTGCTACCACAAGTTGATCTTTTGTGACTTGTAGAAACCGAATTATAACCAACCGGGGTATAACTGCCATTGATCCAGGAAATCGAGTCCCCAAGGATGGTGGTCGTCTGATAACTGGTAAAATACGGTACTATTGTGTTTGGACATGCACCTCTCAGTTTCCGTCAACATGAGTTTGTTTGAGTGTGTTCTCTAGTGATGGATTTGTGTGGGGCTTCAAGCTTCTTTTACGAAGTATTAGTTAGAAGTCAGTATGTTGTGTACACCTAATGTGTGTGTGTGTCTGTGTGCATGCTGTGTTCTGTTTTCGTGTTGTCATGCTGCAGACAAAGCAGCCCAGCAACACCTTGCCATGGTTGAGGTGCAGCTTAGTGAAGGTGAAAAGAAAGAGCGGAAGATGTGCCAGGCAATGTTTGGTTCCTGATGGTTTATCTGCCGGTAGCTGATGCAATGGTGCAAAGAGTTTCTGAAGTAATTATGAACACGAGTACGTTGCTTGCCAAGGGGAGTACGGAACACTGACGCTTCAGCATGGCTCACAGCTACTCCTGAAGCCCACCATGGTCCTGGCGCCAAGATACAGACGAGCGAGAAAGGAGATGGTTTCCGCATATCTGGTGCTGCCGCCTGGTGTTCCTAACATCAGCTTGCAGAATCTTAATGCTTCTCTGATGGCTAAGATGCCTGGCTTGACAGGAGAGACAGAGGACACTACAAGCATGAGCAAAGTGTAGATATCTCTACTTGCTGTACGTGTACATGTAGGCACACTAGCACGACCAGTGTTTACGAGAGATATACTTGCAAGGCGAAGATGAACATGTACTTGTTCAGTTCTACTTTTTATTTTGTTTGGAGTGAGTTGAGCATTTTACCGTTCACGCTATTTTCGACGGTCGGCGTGTAGAGGGCGAGTCTACTGTTTTTTTGTGTGTTTTAGAGACACGGTTAGCAGGTCGGCTTCTGAGTCCTCACTCCTGACGCAACGTTAGACGTGTGAGGTAACCCTAGTTGGAATCTTACCGTTTCGTTCTCCCGCTAAACAGAGCTTTCTATCGTCGAAACGGTACCAAACCGACCGTATTTTGGGTGTTGGATACGAGCACCGTTGGATCTAGCGCGTGAACTGTAAAATGCCATGTCTACACACACAAAAAACGGTACAGGCCGACCGTCGGAAATAGCGTGAACGGTAAAATGCTAACCATGTCTATTCTCTTTGCAGTGTCCAGGTTCAGTGTGGCCGGGCACATGATGCAGTTTGCCCTAATGTTGTTTCTTCATGTTTTTTTCCCGACGCCTTTTTGTTGGCTCTTGTTTTTCGCCTTTCTCCTGCTGTGCCCTTGCCGTTTACTGTTGAGAAGTGATTATCGAAACTAACAGAACGGTGCGTTGTATGGTGGGTGGGGCCAGGGGGAGAAGGCAATAATACAAAACAGCTGTGTTTCATAAAAAGTAAAAAGGACCAAGGAACTACAAGTTACACCATAATGTAGTTTCTTGCTCCTGTTTACTTTTAATAATCCTTGGCTCTCCATCCGAGCTGTGTTTCATTTTGCTTTTTGTTTGATTTCACCCGGGACAACTCGCATGCATATTTGCTCACCACCGTTGCCTTCTTGACGTAGAAGATTGACGATCAAAAATCACTCCAGAGACCGTGTTCGTCTCACTCTGGCATAGCCACATGCAAGCAACAATGCTTGTCACCATGGTCACCTGCCAAACATGGACACATGTCTTGTTTTGGTTCAAAAATCTGTTGGATCCCGTAAAAAAACTGACATAACGGCCGATTCATACTTCATTTCGCATACGGGAAACGCGTAGTCGCGAAAAAGTTGATCTGAGCTCAACTATTTCGCGTACGGGAAAGTCATCACGCGACCATGAGACGAACACGGTTTCTGGAGTGATTTTTGATCGTCGCTCTGCTACGTCAAGAAGGCAACGGTGGTGAGCAAATAATCATGCGAGTTGTCCCGGGTGAAATAGAACAAAAAGCAAATATTGCCTTCTCCCCCTGGCCCCACCCACCATACAACAATGCACCGTTCTGTTAGTTTCAATATTCACTTCTCAACAGTAAACGGCAAGGGCACAGCAGGAGAAAGGCGAAAAACAAGAGTCAACAAAAAGACGACGGGAAAAACATGAAGAAAAAATGACATAAAGGCCGATTCATACTTCATTTCGCATGCGGGAAACGTGTCGCGTCGCGAAAAAGTTGATCTGAGCTCAACTATTTCGAGTACGGGAAAGCCATCGGGCGACGATCGTGCGTTGACTTTCCCGTACGCGAAATGAAGTACAGTATGAATCGGCCTTGAGGCACAGTTGCTCGGCTACGAATCCGATGGATTTGGGTCCGGAGTGGATCTGGACCAGGGAATTGTATAGACCTAGTCTATACAATTCCCTGATCTGGATCCGACTGAATGGTTGCAGCATTCGATACAAGCAAATAATATAGGTATCAATCAAGAGTTTTCAACAAGAGTTCCTCATGAAGAATGACAATTACTCATGTTGCAGGCTATGATCAAGATACAAGAAGTGTCTGATTCACTTCCAATACGGCAGAGTGAGTTGGTTCAGCCACTCTCTGCAAGGAATGTGTATGCTTAGCTAAACATAACCCGTCTGCTCATGGATCACCGGCTGTTGCTCCTTGAGCCAATGTTTCCTCTGTTCTCCCAGCTAAAACAACTCAGGTCAGTACAACACAAAATAATTGTTAATCACACATGTGAATTGTAACAAGGAAGGCAAGAGAGATGTCAGCACATGCATTGCTGTTATTCACACACAGGATGGATCTTTATGAACAAGACCAAGATACTATCTTGGTCTTGTTCATAAAGATAACCCTGCATACTATGCACCTGATGATCTGTAAGCAGATACCATCAATGTCCACCAAGATAACGACAGGATAGCGGATTATGTACAGGAAAGCAAACAAAAACAATGGCGCAATGGCAGCACTCAAAGTCAGAGAAAGGAACCAAGGAATGATGTGAGCAGGTGAGGAGGACGTGCACAGTGGTTGCATTGTGAAGCACAGCATAGCATGATGTGTACAGCAGCAGCAGCAGCAGCAGCAGCAGCAGCAGCAGCAGCAGCAGCAAGAGGATAGGTATTAGGCAGGTAATGCCAGCATAAGCGATAGAGAGCTAGAAAATAGAATAGAAGAAGAAACCAGGAGAGTGATGACAGGTACAAGTAAGGTAACTTTACAACAATCATGCTTCAACGCGTTAACACATCATTTGCCTACAACACGCAGAAGTGAGTGAAAAAGAGTGGGTTATACTTGGGGTAGAATTGCGATAAGAAAACCGGCGCAGTCTTTCACCTGAAGTACACAGAAGAAGAAAAGGACGGCAACCTTTAATACAGGTGACAAACAACCATGCTCGAGGCACAGTTATCACACGGAAACGTTGCTCAGCCAAAAAATTCCATTCGCCAGAACGCTCGAGCTTTACTTCAGTTCGACTTCGACAAAAACATTCAGCTCATGACAGATTCAGCACGGGCTGTGTCCACAGGAATTTCAACCAGGCTTGAAAGGTCATGTAATACACATCTGACTCTACTGAGTCCAAGTTGGTGAATGTGAAGTAATGATGCTTGCAGCAAAAAGCCACCATAACGTTATGTGAGAGTGTTAGGAATGAGTAGACTACTGTGTCACTGGCTGCAATTAAGTAAGTGAACCCTTGAGAGCACCCACCCGCTCATCTATTTATTTTATTTTCAGCATCCTCAGGACTGTCTTACGAGTTCACGAGGGACGGAGCTCGAGTCGCAGTCCAGGAAGCCGTTGTTGCTATGTGCTATTAACTATGCACCATACGTGAACTGATGCACTGGCTTGCCAAGCGAGATATCGCCACCCATCGATGGTGAGAGGAGATGGATTGGCAAGATAGGACAGAAGAGTTTGCAGTGTGTAATGTTCGGCGTTGTTTGACCGCCATTTTGACAACTACTGTATAATGGAGAACTGCATGTGGTGTCTTCGCCCAGTATTCTATTCCAGTATCCTGCTATGTCTAGTTCCATTATTCTATTCCAGTATCCTGCTATGTCTAGTTCCATTATTCTATTCCAGTATCCTGCTATGTCTAGTTCCATTATTCTATTCCAGTATCCTGCTATGTCTAGTTCCATTATTCTATTCCAGTATCCTGCTATGTCCAGTATCCTGCTATGTCTAGTTTCATTATTCTATTCCAGTATCCTGCTATGTCTAGTTTCATTATTCTATTCCAGTATCCTGCTATGTCTAGTTTCATTATTCTATTCCAGTATCCTGCTATGTCTAGTTTCATTATTCTATTCCAGTATCCTGCTATGTCTAGTTTCATTATTCTATTCCAGTATCCTGCTATGTCTAGTTTCATTATTCTATTCCAGTATCCTGCTATGTCTAGTTCCATTATTCTATTCCAGTATCCTGCTATGTCTAATTCCATTATTCTATTCCAGTATCCTGCTATGTCTAGTTCCATTATTCTATTCCAGTATCCTGCTATGTCTAGTTCCATTATTCTATTCCAGTATCCTGCTATGTCTAGTTCCATTATTCTATTCCAGTATCCTGCTATGTCTAATTCCATTATTCTATTCCAGTATCCTGCTATGTCTAGTTCCATTATTCTATTCCAGTATCCTGCTATGTCTAGTTTGAAGAAGGGCTGAGGCTTCCTGCAGCTTCATCTGTGAAAAGAATTCGGGTGGACACACCCATTCCCATAGCGCTGCACATCACATCCGAACCAGTTCCGTTATTTTTACAACGTTTCGGCACTCGGCCATCGTCAGGTAATAACAATGAATACCGTGGAAGCCACACAAGAGCAGTATATACGCAGAGTGCAGCGCCAAAAAAGATGCGAATTATGTCACCTAGTATGCAGAAGGGGGGACAGAGAGAGAGAAAAGGCGCAACTAGCACATCACGGAGGAGAAGCAGCAGAAGGTAGCGCGCATTGTGCTCTGTGAATGGCGTTACGCAGAGTGTAGCGCCAAAAAATAAAATGATGCGAGTTATGTCACCTCTATACAGAGGGGGGGGGGGGGAAGAGAGAAGGTGCAACTGTGCACATCACGGAGAAGAAGAGCGCGCCGTTGTACTCTACGAAGTGAGGGTACATGCCAAATAATTATGGTGTTAATTCTAGCACAGGAGGGGAGCACGGAGCCCCATGAGTCAATGCACTATGAGGTTAAACTTCCATGCCAAACTGTTACCACCAGGGACGCGACGAGGCATCAGGAACAGAATGGATTTGAGTGACCCGCCTCATATTATAATTATTCAGTGATATTGAAGTAGCAGCAGGGGAAGCTGAGAAAATTCACAACAAATCCCATCCGGTGCTTATGTTCACATGGGGCTTGGCATCACGAATCTCAATCGCCTCGCGCAGTTTGCGACGGGCTCAATCAGGCTCTCTTCCTATTACTTCAACTGCAGAGAATGCACTTTGCCCATAGTTAAGCTTACATCCAGGGTGAGTGGTACGAAAATGTTGGCCCCATGGCTTGTCGAGTTCCTGGCGTCTTGCCTCACCATTATGTTCTTCCAGGCGAGTTTCCAGAAAGCGGCCAGTCTCACCAACATATTGTTCCGGACATTCTTTGCACTTCAGCTGATATACAACATTCTTCTGCATACATACATCCTGTCCCCCGGATATACACGAGATACACGGCCCCTTTGGGCGACCTCTCTTTTTCGGTTGTAGCGGAACGAGGGCGGAGCGACACAATGTGCGCTCCGCCCTCGTTCCTCCTCTATGTGTCAAGGCTGCAAATCCGCTACAACCGAAAAAGAGAGGTCGCCCAAAGGGGCCGTGTATCTCGTGTATATCCGGGGGACAGGATGTATGTATGCAGAAGAATGTTGTATATCAGCTGAAGTGCAAAGAATGTCCGGAAAAATATGTTGGTGAGACTGGCCGCTTTCTGGAAACTCGCCTGGAAGAACATAATGGTGAGGCAAGACGCCAGGAACTCGACAAGCCATGGGGCCAACATTTTCGTACCACTCACCCTGGATGTAAGCTTAACTATGGGCAAAGTGCATTCTCTGCAGTTGAAGTAATAGGAAGAGAGCCTGATCGAGCCCGTCGCAAACTGCGCGAGGCGATTGAGATTCGTGATGCCAAGCCCCATGTGAACATAAGCACCGGATGGGATTTGTTGTGAATTTTCTCAGCTTCCCCTGCTGCTACTTCAATATCACTGAATAATTATAATATGAGGCGGGTCACTCAAATCCATTCTGTTCCTGATGCCTCGTCGCGTCCCTGGTGGTAACAGTTTGGCATGGAAGTTTAACCTCATAGTGCATTGACTCATGGGGCTCCGTGCTCCCCTCCTGTGCTAGAATTAACACCATAATTATTTGGCATGTACCCTCACTTCGTAGAGTACAACGGCGCGCTCTTCTTCTCCGTGATGTGCACAGTTGCACCTTCTCTCTTCCCCCCCCCCCTCTGTATAGAGGTGACATAACTCGCATCATTTTATTTTTTGGCGCTACACTCTGCGTAACGCCATTCACAGAGCACAATGCGCGCTACCTTCTGCTGCTTCTCCTCCGTGATGTGCTAGTTGCGCCTTTTCTCTCTCTCTGTCCCCCCTTCTGCATACTAGGTGACATAATTCGCATCTTTTTTGGCGCTGCACTCTGCGTATATACTGCTCTTGTGTGGCTTCCACGGTATTCATTATTATTACCTGACGATGGCCAAGTGCCGAAACGTTGTAAAAATAACGGAACTGGTTCGGATGTGATGTGCAGCGCTATGGGAATGGGTGTGTCCACCCGAATTCTTTTCACTGCTATGTCTAGTTCCATTATTCTATTCCAGTATCCTGCTATGTCTAGTTCCATTATTCTATTCCAGTTTCCTGCTATGTCTAGTTCCATTATTCTATTCCAGTATCCTGCTATGTCTAGTTCCATTATTCTATTCCAGTTTCCTGCTATGTCTAGTTCCATTATTCTATTCCAGTATCCTGCTATGTCTAGTTCCATTATTCTATTCCAGTATCCTGCTATGTCCAGGATCCTGCTATGTCTAATTTCATTATTCTATTCCAGTATCCTGCTATGTCTAGTTTCATTATTCTATTCCAGTATCCTGCTATGTCTAGTTCCATTATTCTATTCCAGTATCCTGCTATGTCTAGTTCCATTATTCTATTCCAGTTTCCTGCTATGTCTAGTTCCATTATTCTATTCCAGTTTCCTGCTATGTCTAGTTCCATTATTCTATTCCAGTTTCCTGCTATGTCTAGTTTCCGTACCCGTCTACAGTAAGATCGGGCGCCGAAGAACACCTCGCCGAAGAACACCCAGGCTGGAAAACCGGCAAAATTTAAGAACAGTCCAGGCTAGAATTATCAGATTTAAGAACACTTTTAAAATTTACAAAATTGTACATGTATGGGAGGTGAGTACATGTCATGTACACGTGTAAACAGTAACTGCTACATGTACAGTCATTCCCATTTACGACACCCACTAGTTTAGAAGTACTACATTGCACTACAATACATGTACATGTACATGTACATGACAAACGTCATGACGTCACTCGACTCGCCGCGCGCGTGTGAATAAGAACGGTCTGGCTAGAATCAAAAATTTAAGAACTTTCCTAGGCTGCGCTCGAGCCCCTGCGTTCTTCGGCGCCCGATCTTACTGTACACAGTAAACAGGTATGTACTGGAAGTCTACAAATTTTCGGTGCCTTCAAATTTCGGCCTCCCAGGGCTAAAACACATTCCGGCCGCCTTCAAAGTTCAGCCTGTACAACTGCAGCCTGTCTACACTGTCACACTGAACATTGCAAAACAAAATTTCAGCCGCAACAAATTTTCGACCAAAAATGCCCAGGCCGAAAAAAGCCGAAAATAAATATGCGCCGAAAACGTGTTGACTGACTAACAGCAGACTAGTGCAGAGAAGCAGCACCACTAGTAGAGATGTCAGAGTGGTTACGTAATCGCCCTAAAATCGTGTCGCAGGGCTGACCATACCAGCTACAGTCACGCGTGGCACACGACCATGATCCTGCACCAGGCTGAAAAAATCGCGTGGGCGTCCAAGCAGCACACTTCCATGGACTCGTACAGCAGCCCAAGCTTGTTTTTGAAATGTTTGGAGAGGAAGAAGGCGAAGAGCAAAGAGAAAGCCCCTGTTCAGAGTTTGAACTAGCAATCTGCGTTGTGTTTTCGCGAAGCTGCCGTTGAGCCAAAGTAGGTTATTTTCGTTTGGCTTTTTCGGTCCCTGCGCATCGGTGCACGCCTTGGATTCGCTCACCATCGTCTTCCGCGTCCTTGAATTTAGTTTCTTGCAAAGTTTGGTCGCCGTGCTTGCTTGCGCACCATAGTTTTTTGATCTGTTTGTGCGCACCTATGTGAACAGGGTACATATGAGTGGTCTACGTGCGTGTTCAAGTAGTGGTTTCAGTTCTGATGAGAGGCCCAGAGGAACAACGTGATTTGTGCGTTGGATCATCTCTGGCTAAGCAGCTCGAGGTAAACCAAATCGACACGATATCGAATGGACTGGTCTTGGAACAGAGCAAGGTGAACGATGAAAATAACTGTACAAAACACGTCCCAATGTTCCTGGATTCTCACTGGCGTAGTTGTTCGATACTACATTAGTAGCTTTGCGATAGAGAAACAAAAATGCTTGATTCCGACAAGGTGTTGTCCTTTGCCGTCCATGGCGAGACGAACTAATTAATTTTGTTGCTTGGAGTACGGATTCGTCGTAATTTTTGCACTTTCCCTCAGCACTGCACTTTGTTCCCCATGGCAACCGCTCATGACGCACTGGGCAAGTTGACGGCTTTTGTGCCATCGATTCTTGCTGTTTGTATGCAGTGGTGCATCCCTCAGCACGACAATGGCGGGTGCCTGTCATCCTACTTCGAGGGCGTATAAATACCGCTTCCATAGCTTGGATTCACCTAAAATTTGACCAGTACGGAGCGTTTTGGATACTGATTCGATTGGTATATCACTCATTCCTCTGGTTTCAAGTTAGATTTTTCGTCTGATATCGCTACCACTAGCATAGCACCACTAGCATAGCACCGCTAGCATAGCACCGCTAGCATAGCACCGCTAGCATAGCACCGCTAGCATAGCACCACTAGCATAGCACCTACCTTTGCTGTTTCCGACTTGGCGTATGAAGACACGATCCTGGTGACATCGAGTGATGCAGCTATAGCTTGAGCTTCCTCGATGCCGCATACCTGAAAGCGGCACAATTCACATGCAAACCAGAGCTTGACTAGGGTTGGGTGAAATATCGTCCCCGTATTCGGGCCCTGGGCACTGGACACATGTACCGTATTTCCCCGAATATAAGTCACACCTTTTTACACTACAACTCAAGGGTGAAAAGGGGGTGCGACTTACAATCGGGCATGACTTTAATACTACTGAAGTCAAATTATATCAAAACAAAATGGCTCAAAACCTGAAAATGGGGGTGCGACTTACATCCGAGTGTGACTTATAATCGGGGAAATACGGTACTAACTAATGCAGTGCACTTGTATAACCCTGGCTGCAAGGTCACGCATGAAAACAAAAAGCCAGCTTCCTCCTGTACAAGCCAATGTGGGTTTGTGCAAATTTCGGCTGGGTTTAGCTTGAACAATTGCTGATACATGTATGAGGACCTGCAATCACTGTAAGCATTGCTGGTGAAGCCTCACCAGGAGAATAGACTTAGTTGCTGCCTGCAGGGCTAAGTAAGTTGCTTGGGTCCTAATACCAAGTATCCGGAGTTGGGTCAAAATGTTTGATACCCAGTCTAATGTATTCACATGCCCACAAAGCTATAATGTACAGTGCAGAGTGTTGAAGCATTTACCAAGGTTCCTAGAGCCACCAAAAGTCGGAAGGCTCCACCGTCATCGAGAGGTCTGTGAATTAATACCTACAGTCAGAACGGCACACACACCCACACACGCACACACACACACGCACACACACGCGCGCACGCACATACAAACATGCGAACGAAACTTCAAAATCAACAGGCAATGAACATCTAAAGGAGCCCTAACATCTGGCATAGGAAATTCACAGACCAGCAAGACCATTAGCACAGGAACGAGAATACTCTTTGGGCTATGTCCTCTTGCTATTGTCAAAAACTATACAAAAAGATATCACTAAGTTTAATTTATTTTAGAGTAAAGAAAAAGACACTATAACCCACATGTGACTAAGTGTAATGTGAGCATATAGCATATCAACAGATTGTCAGCAGAATGTCAATGTATCGTAGTATCTTGTATAAAAGCCTGTCTCATTTAGAAGCCTGTTTTGAATACTTTCGAAGTGCAAGCCTGATTTTTCGACATGCACTGTCAGCAAAAAAAGCCTGGTTTTAGTGTTGACATACATAGAAACACCTGTCTCATATAGAAGCCTGCAAAATTTCCCCCAAAAAGTCATAAAAGCCGCGGCTTTTATACATGTACATGACTTTACGGTATATTGCTGTGACTCAATCTCCACGAGCACTAAAAAGAGAAAGATCTATTCTCACTGATCTATCCTCACTGACTTACAGGACATATGGAGTCCACCAGTGATGAGGTCTGCTCCATGTCATCGAGATGACGAACCAGAATGGCAATACTGTGAGTGCACACACGCGCGTGCACACACACGCACGCACGCACACACGCACGCGCACACACACACACACACACACACACACACACACACACATACACATACTCTAGTAGTGAATCAGTACAGTTGAGTTAGACACTACCCAGAGTCCATGCCCCCTCCCCCTAGAGCATGTATTTTAAGCTTCCAAGAGTGTGCACCTCCTGATACTCTTTCTATGGGGTTCGCCGATGACGAAAACTCACATCACCTGTAGTGTTCCCGTTGTACGATTTTAGCGAGCACCGGAGTAATAAATAAAGCACTCCCTGACAGGACTCTTGGTATTGTGTTTGTGTGTGTGTGTGTGTGTGTGTGTGTGTGTGTGTGTGTGTGTTTGTGTGTTCTTGGGCCTTGGAGACCAGCCACTCTGGGCCCAGGAGACTGTGCACAATTGCCGTCAGTCTGAACATGGACATGTACTGGTTACAGAGCGCACTACAATGGGAGTGGCAACACTGCAACTGAAAACGGACGTGTCCTGATTGTGGAGATGTCGTTTGTTGAGAGGTGTCCGCTTAGGGATGTTTTACTGTACGTACTACGTAGCCAGTATGTGAATAGGACTGGCGTTGTTCACAGAAGTGCCAGATGTGTACAAGACCTTACTTGAGGAACACTGTGCAAGCGGCAATTTGGTGCCCACCGCCACATTCCAATGCAACCTTCTGAGCTAGAGCGATCACCTGCACACAGAAAGCAAGGATATACACAAGTCCAAAAACAACACACATTTATAATTATACATACATACATGTACATACATCCAGGCATAAGCACAGTACCTTCAATACAATGCTCAGGCCCTATTGTACAGATCTTCACTGGGCAAAATACAATAGAATACAGTGAGCAAGCTGCTTACTAAGTTTTACAATGAATTGACTGCAGCAATGCAGCAATGCAGCAATGCATTGGCATACTACAGTAGAAGATGATAGTAGAAAGAATCAAGTCGAGAATGGAAGCAGACTGAGGCACCAGCAACAATTTGAACAGGGAACAATTACGGATGAGTATTTGTGCAACGAGCGAGCTATCGAGTACTCTTTATCTGTATTTATAAGTATGAACAAGAGTACAGGTATTCACTATTCAGTACAAGTACTGTAGAGGCAGAAAAATTCATCGGTCAATAATTTCGTCCAACTCCAAAGAAAAGGAGTTCGTCCGGTTGAAAATTTCGTCCATGGATCATAAGAGTGTATAGAAAAGCTGGACAAATCGATATTCGTCCTACATTTAATTTAGTCCAAAAGCTCCTTGGACGAAAAAGACGAAATTAAATTCCAGACGAATATTTCTGCTTATACAGTAGTATAGATTTATGTACTCTTGGTATGAACGAAGAACGCAGTAAAGAAGTTCAATGGAATGACAGTTGAAACTGCAAGTACGTGAAGGACAAAGCATCAAAAAGCTACAGATGCATAGCAGTGACTACAGGCACTGTACTGGTCGACTCGTCACAACTTGCACTCAATAGTGGTATTGCACAGTACTGATAATGTCTGTAGTTTGCACTTGCGCACTTCCCAGGTATGCAATGATCGTGCGTATACGCATACCACTAACGATCTCTTATCGAACACAATAATACTAACGATGACCCTAACTGACAAATAAAAAGGAGTACTCGAGACTCTCGAGAACTCGATGCGATCCTTTTGTTCCCTAGCAACAGTATTACCTCCCTGCCATTACAACTACAACTACATGTAAATAATACAGTATTAGATGTGCTATCACGGTAGTACTACGAGCAGTTGTACTCACCACCTCGATGCTGGCATGCAGTGTCTCTGTACCTCCAACACTAGCTGCCATATTGCACATGGTACGCATTGCTAGCAGACAATTCGTGCTCTTCACGTCACTAAACCAACACGTACAGCATAGAGAATCATGCATTGGTAACAATTACCAGTAGGCAGGAACCTGCCACAGCAACTGACAGTAAAATAGATCCAGCGCAATCTCGCATGTGATGTGATTTTCCAGGTCATGCTTTGTGAATGTGTCTGTGCGTATGTCGTTACTATATAGCTTTCATGGCTGAGGTTGTTGGTACGTCTGTTGGCCCTGGGTTCCCAGTACCCAGTTGCCGCGGCTGGTTGGTAAAATAACTCCAATTTCACTTCAAGGTACCAGTGCATCTAGTGTCTGCTTTTATCAAAGCAGCATGCTGTCTATACTGGTTACCCCAGCAAGTGTAGGGTGTGCATAGGTAACTGTCTTGGCCGTCCTATTCCGATGTACTCAGTGTGGTGTAGACCAGGTGTGCATTGGGGGGTCGATTCACATGGCTTCGCCAGTTGTGGATTAGACAGTTATCTGGCGCTTGTCTTGATTTGTTTCAATCAGAATCAGATCCGCTATCGTTGCTATAAAGAGAAAATCTGTGGGTGCACATCCAGTGCATTTGCAGATTTGCGTGCTTCTCTTGCGACGGGCGTGTACAGTACATGGTACATGTATGTATGTATGTATATGTAGGACTCAGTATAGAGGTCCATGCACTATATGATGTCCAGCACCCTATATAGAGTCCATTGGTCCAAAATCCACTATACAGAGTCCAGGACTGGCAGGAGTCCACTCAGTTTTGATCAGCTTCATCCTGCCGCGCAATCCCCTATAAGGAGTACACTTTTTCTACAAGTCCCCTATTCACAGTCCAGGAGTCCAGTTTATCCAGTCACGCCGTCCTGTGTGATGTGCCCGAAAGAGAACAAACACATTTTCAGTTTTGCTTGCCTCGTGGCAGCGCATTCCTTTCTTCACTTCAGCCATGGCTGCCAGTTCTGCTGTGCAGTTGCTGACAGTAATCTGTCTCGAGGTAACCAAGGAGGATAAGGAGACGTTCAAAATCAAATCTGGAAAGCGTCTTGTGGTTCTCTGAAGACGTTTCATCAGTGCGCGGGATGAAAGCAGAAATTGCAGAACGAGAAAAAGTTCAGCACAGTTCAAATCTGACTAGTCAGGTACACTGACACTCTCTTTCGTTCGACGCCACAAGGATCCCCTGTTTGGCTGGCCATTGCTGCCAGTAAGACGTTTGAACGGTTTCATCAGAGCGAGGGATGAAAGCAGAAAGCGGAGAAAGAGAAAGGTTCAGCACAGTTCCAATCTGACGAGTCAGATACACTGACATTCTCTTTCGTTCGACGCCACAAGGATACCCCTGTTTGACTGGACAAGAGCTGCCTGTACCACCGTGTCAAAAGGCTGTCCAACTACATGGCAGGACGATGACTGAGGTAAGGAAGCTTTTACTTGTTTCGATTGGTCTGCTGTTCTGTCGTTATGCTTGAATTTGTTTCCATTTTCAAGGAGCGTATCGTGTTTGTTTGATGTTGCTTGAATGAATGCCCTAAAAGTAATCAACCACTTCGTAATAGTCCTCAAGGACTGCAAGGACTTTGCATCAATCGTATACGATCGTCTAGCTATCATCAATTATTATAATTATTTCATGAGAAATGTATTTTTATCCCTGTGAAAATTATGTGAAACTCCACGACACTCTTACTCTACAAATTATAGTATGATGTCAAATACAATGGGATCCACAAACGCAGTGCCAGTGTACTAGTAGTAGTAGGAGGATTGCTTGTATGCCAATGACAAGAAAAAGCTTCTCAAGCTAATACTCGTATTCCCTGAAGTAACCGTTTTGATGTCACGAACATGACATTGTGTCAGTGAAGCTGCCTCGTGACAACAAATCATTGCATTTCCATCTTGGGGAAGACTGACTGACGGCAACGCTGTACAGATTGTTCAAATCATCTCATTTCAATTTACTTCGAAGTAGTTGCAGTGAAACACTGTGTACACTACATGTATGGTGGTGTGTCCGTGCGTCTCGAGTGTGCACAAACGATCTTATTCCTCGTATTACTAATAGATTATTGTCCCCACCGTCACCTGTTCAC